ATTTGTTGGAAAAACTGTCCATATGCATTGTATTCCTTAGTTGAACTCATAAATGTTGAGCTCGTGTTACAACTTATAAGGAATCTGTTTTCTCTTGGTTTTAGCACGAAAGAATTTGTGCGTCTCTGGAAGTTTATTTTACCACCAATAAGGCAAGATGTTTTGAAATACCCGCAGTCCCGCACTATTTGGATCTGGAGTTATAGAGCTTGTTTATGATATTGCTCTAAGTGTTTTAGGTTTATAATGCAGTATCTGATGCATACAATTTCTTTCCTGAGAGTTTACAAGTTCTCTTAAGTTATCACATGCTAAAGTAATACTTGATGGCATGTCACTTAACTAAACCAAGTGGCATAACCATTTAACAAGTGAGAGATGTACATAACATTTTCTCTGACCAAGTGACCATGCCATGAACTGTGTCCCCAAAAAAAAGACAAGTGTTGCTGCATGTCTTATTACTTTGAATTGTGTTCCTCGGTGTTGTGTTTTTAAGGTTAATTGTGTCTCGTATAATCCTGTAGGTTTCATAGATTGATCAATTGTGGCACCGGCAATGTGGTGGCGAGGTTTACATCCTCGAATTGTTCCACCGGTCAAAAGATGACCTGCTTTTCTGAAATGAATTCTGTTTCCCAAGCAGTTAATCATTGGTCATTGCATTCCTGGATGTATCCGCAGTCTCCTCTACCGCCTTCAGTTATATCAGCTTTAACATTGTCTGCTTCAACGGGAGGTATTTGCTGGATTCTTCTGTATAGTCCTACCTTTTGCTTGCTATCTTTCCTCCTGACTGTAGAATTTTTACTTTTAATCCTAGGGCAACTGGACTTTTTAAGCGAAAGGCAGCTAGCATGGCAGGATTCCTTTCGAAGTTTATATTACATGCTTCGGAAGAATGTTTGCAGCATCTTCTACGGTAAGTATCATTTTAATTACCACCTTCATGTGCCACTTATAACTGGCATACAGTTTTTAACTTTTTATTCTCTTCGCATTTCATGAGACTTCACACTTATAAATAGTGGTGATTTAGGATGGACATCTGCAACTTAGAAAAGGGAGAAATGCAATAAATGAATTCTTTATGATATTATTACTTGATTAGGCAATTGGGTCTTACCAGTAGAGACTCTGATATTGGTCTACAAGGAGTTTTTAACACAGACATGTACCTATTTTCAGCCTAGTTATGTTACTTGTAATCATAGAGAAACTATTTGAAGTGATTACGGCAGGCTCTGTTTTACACGGAATCCATGGTTCTACTATCTATTTTTCCCTCCTTTTTCATATGTATTTTCCCTTATTATGTGTTAATGATCATTGTTTAACTTTATTGGTTTTTGGTACTTGTGAGTTGTGATGTTAGTTAACTCCTAGGTCTAAAGGTCTGGTGTTCAGCTTATTGGCTTATACATAGGGGTGGCAAATGGGCGGGTTGTGCTGAATTTGGGCGGGTCAAGATGGGTTTGGTCAATAAATGGGTCATTGCCCAACCCAGCCCCTTTGGGCTAAGATGGGCTGGGTCAAGATGAGCTAAACAATGGGTCATAGCCCAACCCGCCCAACTTGACACATGTTTTAGAACCATGCTCATCTTGCATAAACATAGCCTTTTATACATAACCTGTAATACATCATATGTATAAAAGGTAAATAAATACTAGTATTTTCAGAATCAAAATATATTTTCTTAAATAACAAATTAGTATTTAAAATGTGTAAGTTGAAAAATATTTTGCAGGTGGGGTTGGGGTGAGTGGGTGGTGCAAGAAAACAAAAAAACGGAAAATTAAGAATACAAAAAAAATAAGTAAAATAAATTGTTTTTGAGGGGGTTTGCGGGAGGTGAGGTGGGTGGTGCAGAAAAACGAAAAAACAGAAAATTGAAAATACAAAAAAAAAGAGTAAAATTGGGGCAACTAAGTAAATTTTTAGATAAGTTGGGTTGAGATCCTTTTGTTTTAGGTGAGCTTCATGGGTTGTATTTGGGCTACTTTATGGGTCAGAATGGGCTATAAAAAATAATGGGTTAATTTGGGCTCAGTCCAAATAGCCCCATGAGCTAAAATGTTTGTAGCCCAACCCATTAATCTCTGGCGGGTGGGATGGGTTTGGGCTCAAATTGCCACCCCTACTTATACATACTTGCCTTTAAGAGCTCTACTCTGAGACAATTTAAAAACACATACAAAAGTTCGCATTGCCATGTCCATTGAAGAACTATCCAATGGTGATGTAAATGACAGCCATTGGTACTTGCCTGTCGCTTCTTCCATGATTGTATTTATTTGCCTGACTACCCTTCTTTGCTCCCAAAAGTCCAGAAAGGGTAACACCTGAATTAGATTAGATCTCTTTGGATGAGGTGATATAGAATCTAATTAACATAAAATAAACAATCTGATTTTAATTTTCTGTTGTAATAACTCTGTAAAACTAAATAAAGATGCAATTGTTTGTGGATACAGTTTCTTGGCAGCTTAAAAGTCATTCCCTTTGTTCAATTTTATATTGCACTATTTCCTTATTAGCCTGTTCCAAAATGAATGACTTCCGTCATATAAAATGAAATAGTGGGAATACCTTTTTTTTGCTTCATTGTAGTGATTGAATTCTATGTATTCATGTTCTCTCTCTGTTTTTAACTTTGCAGTCTGCACAGCTCAATTTGTGGTCATGTTCACCAGTTCTTATTCTGAGGAAAACTGCATTTGCAATGCATATATATCTCAGTCAACCCGTGGTTTGAGGTCATTACTCAAAGAACATGTAAGATGATGGCTTGATGGTACTTCTTATTTTGCTTATTTCTTCATGGTATTCTTCAAGCACAGTTCTGTTGTTATCCAGCTCGTTTTGGCCTATTTGGTTTTTGCTGTTACCCTCCTGCAAAGTGCTGATACAATGCTTTTAGTTTGTGATTGTAAAAATTGATCTTGGAGCAGCTCGGGGATGTTCTAATGAGTCACTAAAGTTTCATATACTTGATTAGGTCTAACCTCTACAATTTAAGCTCCTCAACAACTAGACTAGTTTTAATGATGTAATGATTTGCAGGTAATGTTAGTTTGGATTTGAATAGCATCTTAAATTGCCTGATAACATTACACAAGTTATGAAACTTGGTACATGCTCCAGTGGAGAAGTTCCATATGTTAGTCCATAAATAGGAGCCGTAAAGCAAAAGGTGTTAAAGACAATATAGCCCCAGGACTTTAAGTGAGAAGCGAATGCATGGTGTGTAAATATTGCATCACGTAACCTCTATCTGTTGAAAATGTGTTAAAAAGATAGGAAATAAGTTTTTTTTTCCTTTTCTAAAAGCATGAAGCTGGCATTCTAGCTCAGTATATTACTACAGTATAACAAGTGACAAAAGTTGGTGCCAAGTCTTTAGGAGCAAGATAGAATAACTGATCAGTGGAGTGAATACAAAGATGGACTCTTTGGCTTTCCACAGCCATTTGAGTCAAGCAAATAAAGTTGGGCAAAACTATTTGAAATTGAAGTTGGAAAATAAATTATTCGACATACAAGTCCAGGGCACAACTTCAACTGTTTTTTTGAAACTGGCCAAGCTCAAAGAGAGTGCTTGTGAGTTACAAGATCTAAGACACCCCATAGAAAAAGAAAAAGAAGGGATTGTGACTGTACAAAAAAGAAAGTCTACTTCCGTAGAGAGTTTATGAACTCTCTTCATCCTGAATGTTGTGCCAAAAAACGCAAAAAATTAATGATTTGAGTTGTCTTTTTAGAAGGCATCTCTTGTACAAAAGTGCGACATTGAACTTCCATATACTTGCATAAAAAAGAAGGATTAGGAAACACTATCAGCTATAACAGTAAAGAAGGATGATTAGGATTTGACTCCTGGTTTCATTGTCTCCTGTATGTGCTATCTAATATCACTCAAGTGGTGATGCTAAAGTGCTGAATGGGCATGCATTTTAGCTGTGTGATTATGCATTTTGTTGCATATGTAATTTGTTAAGCTGATTATGTGTTACAATCTTTTGTGGTGGTAGGATGTTTCTTTTTCTATGCCGCTTTGCCGCTCAAAATTGGAGGAACTTAGTACAGAAGAGCTGCTTGAGCTTTCAGAGATTGAGAAACAAAATCTGGGCCAGGTAATTTGTCATGTAGTTGAGACTCACGTGGAAAAAAATCCGGGAGAGAAATTTGCTTACAAATCTTTGTATTAATGATGTCAGATTCTTTGACTTACTTGTCAATGCCTAGTTTTAAGAAAGGGAGAATTGTACAAAGTATTAAAAAGGGCAGCCCAGTGCACAAAGTATTCCGCGTTCACGCAGGGTCCGAGGAAGGCTGCACCCTAAGGAGGTGTGATGTAGGCAGCCTGCCCTGATGCAAGCATCAGTGACTGATTCCACGACTTGAACCCGTGATCAATAGGTCACACAGAGACAACTTGACCGTTGCTTCAAGGCTTCCCTTCAATTGTCCAAAGTATTGAGTGTTTTTTTCATGTTATGTCTGAGTTTCCTTTGCCTTAATGAACTTAAACTTTCTCAATGTGGAAATTTTGGAGTAATTATAGTGATGTATAAAATTACTTTAGTGCTTGCTAGAAGAACTGTCGCGGTGTATTCAAATATTGGATTATTCAGTTTCCCCTTTTACCATGAAAAACTTTTTTATTGTTGAAGTATGTCAACTGCTTCCTTTAACAGCTTAAACTGCCAGAGACGAGACACTTTATAGTTCACAACATTGTCCCCCTGCTCCACCCAAATATTTTTTGATTTTTTTTCCTTGGGCCACACACATGGAAATATTTCATTTA